TGGGATTTTTCTCTTTTTTTTTGAATGTTCTTGCTCAACCGCAATGTCACGTGCCAGTGTGTGTGTGTGTATTTGCAAAGGGGGCGTGACAAAAGGCAACGGGTTAATTGTTAAGCGGCGTGTGACTTTTCCAGCCACAACTCTCAAGCCGCTCACATATACACATACATACATATATACATAAGCACAGCCGGAAAATGCCACATGAATATGATGTCAAGAGCGTAATTATTGAATTACTTGACACACACACATTTAAAAAAAATGGGGTGGGGAAAATATTTAAAAAAATAAAAAGAATTTTCTGTGTACTCTTTCTTAGAACTTTATAATTTATGATTTATGATAACTTAAAAGATTGTACAAAAAATATTTTAATAAATGTGGAAATTATATTAAGTAAAAGACTTAATAGAGGTCATAATATTAATTTATAATACGTATTATAAATAAAATAATTAAGCATATAATAAAATATTAACTCTATTTAAAAAAATATATCCATAAAACTATCAAAAATAATCAAAATTAAGTTAAAAATTAAAATTAAAAATTAAATTAAATAATTTTAAAATTATATTAAAAATTATTAATAAAATAAAATAAATTAATTTAATACAAAATATTTTATGAAAATCTAAAAATATTTTTTTATTATGTTAATATTTTGTAAAAAAAAAAATAAAATTAAACATAAATAATATTTAAATCACAGTATGAATAAAAAAATATATTAACTATATTTTATAAAGTCCTTACAAAATGTTGACCAAAAATTAGAATCCTCAAAAAAAAATAAAAAAAGTAAAAGACAGGAAAGAAAGTGGGAAAAGGATGTGGGGGTCGTTAAAAAGTCAGATGGCACATGTAGAGACTTGGTAATATTATGCAATATAAAGTGGCAACTTGTAAATGTGTAAAAATGGCTGTTACAACGGTAAATGCATGTCTGTGTGTGTGTGTGCGTGTGTGTATTTGTATCTGTGTGCAAGTGTCGCGCAAATAACAAAAAACCAAAACACGGCCATCCGGTTACCTGACACCAACAAGCAGCAGCAGCATCAGCTTCGCCGGTAATGGTAACAGTAACTGGCACGTCCGTGGGCGTCTATAGCCACGCCCCCTCTCTTCACACACACACACACGCACAGCACACACACACAGAGACAGAGACAGTTGCCCGACCGCTCTGAGCATTCGTTTATGCGGTTAAAGTAGTGGCAAAAGTAGTAGCCACCAGGTAAAAAAAGAGAGTAGCAGACGAGTCGCAGCATTCAGCATTTCAACAAGCCACATGCACTGCCAGAAAATTTGTATAATATAATTTAATAATTAGAATTATTTTATATGTATTTATAAACAAAAAGATAAATATTTTGTGTGTATTTATAAGCTGTAGGAGTCTTAAATAATTATTATTAAAAATTATAGGATTTTTTATTAATTTTTTTCATGGACTTAAAAATTAAAATAAATAAATAAATAGTATTATTCATGGATTTAAATAAACATACTAAGAATTAATTTTAATTAAACAATTATTTAACAAATTTTAAATTCAAGATTGATAATATAAATATTTTTTTAATATTAAAAATATTTTGTATTAATTTTTATTATTAAATTATTATTTTATTATTAATATATAATTTTTTTAATTTTTATATTTTATTTAATTTTTTTTTTTATTTATTTATATTCTCGTTTTATTTATTTTTTTGTTTTATTGTTTTTTTGTTTATATTTTTTATATTTATTTTTATTTTTTTTCTGCAGTGTATGCTTTTCCTACTCCTCTTTCCATATGTGCGCGAATGTGTGTGTGTGTGTGAGTGGGCGCGTGCCTTTTGGCATCCATGTGGTAACACAGACACATGCAAACACACACGCGCAAGCTGCTCGCATATGCATAGAAAGAAATGTTTACCTTATATTATCCCCACTTCCCGCAAATTCCAGGTGTTCGTGTGTGTGTACGGTGTCCTCACAAAACTTTGTCATTTAGTTAGGTGTAAGTTAGTTTTTTGGCTTAGTCCGGGCCAACACTTTAAGCAGAGAGAAAGAGTGAACGTGGCCAAAAGGAGGTGCTGGCTTGTGGCAGAAAAAAAAAAAATGGGGTAAAAAGGCGGCGAAGAGGGGTGCCCACCGCATAGAGTTACCTTAATTTAGTGCAGTTTGCAAAATATGCGTACGTGTAGAAAGAAGGCACACACATCCTCGGCACACACACAGTTGCAGAGCGAAAAGTTGCACTTTCCATTAAATCAAACACTTGGCGAAACATATGATCGGAAAAGTTGCCGAATGAGTCATGGCAATGGGGCCCTGGGAAATGAGTAACACGCCAAAATGGCTGATAAACTTGAAACTTTTGAACTTTAAGCACTTGCTATTACAGCTGCAGGTTCCTCTTTTGGTCCCCCAAAAAGAAATTAAAGAACAAAAAATTCGTATAAATCAAATGAAGGCTAAAGAGGCATTATGTTTTATTCAATCTATAGTGTTTTAAGCTTCCTATATCGATAGGTTAACTGTAGTTCAGTCTGTGGTGTCGCATCTCTAATGGATGTTATCGATTATCGATCAAATGTAATTTTAAATCTTTGAGGATTAAGGTCCAAGCTCCAAATGATATTTATAAAGAGTGGCATTCGGTTTAAACTTAAGAATAAATTAATCTAGTTTTTACTGTTTTAATTTTTCTATATTCATAATCAATAGTTTAGTCAGTGGTTATCTTTAATGGAAGTTATCGATTAAATATACAGGTCGTTAATCTCCTTCAGGATCTCCATAACAAGCGATCACATATAGATCTATAAAAATAGATGTTGATAAAATACACTCAACTCTGTAGGCGAAGGGGGAGCATAAATACGAGCAACAAATTTTCAATTACTTGTTTGGGATAATATTTTCGGGGAAATGCAATTTGTCTGACTAACTTTATTCATTCATTTTGGGGCTAGAAGTTGCTGCCAGAACACACTCATACACACACACACACACACACACTGGGCAAACAGCAGCAATGAATGCACTTTCATGTCCTGTTTCCTTCCCAATCTCTGTGTGTGTGTGTGTGTGTTTGTGTCTGTGTGAAAGCCCATGTTTGCTTGTGTTTGTAGTTTTGTTCCCAAAAACAAAAAACTTTTGCAAAACGAACGCATGAGACGGGCATTTGGTCCTTCCTCACTCTTTATCTGTCTTGCCATCTCGTTTACTCTGTCGCACTTTCTTAGCGACCAGTGTTGAGCAACAGCAGTATTTTATTACTAAAGGATAACGGGATACTTTGGTCTATTTAGTCTATTTGAGAACAAATTAAAAAATATTTATTTTGCATTTACTTTTTCATATTTTCCAGTGCTGGTAAGGTCCAAGTAATGCAGAGAATAGTGTTGGTAACTTTAATGATTAATTTATTAAAACTGAAGCAAATGTGTTCTCTATTCTTTAGATCATTAAAAACATATTTAACAAACAAATACAAATAAATATAAATAATAAATAATAAAGTAAATAAACTACTCAACACTGGCCTCACAAACGGATCACAGCGGCGACGACAATGGCAACGGATGTTGTTTGTCGCACTTTAAGCCATTCGCTACCGCCCGGGTTTGTTGTGGGCTGTTTGGCCCATAACCCCTTAGCGCCTACACCACCCTCACACACCCACATCCACACCCACACGTACAGTTGTAGAAACACACATCGAGCTTGTTCCTTTGACGCCATGCACGTTTTTTACCCCGTTGAAATTGTAAAAGTTTTGTGATTTTTCCACCCGCCCTTTGGGCGCGCATTGTCAGCGTTGTTAGGATGCTTGCCTACACTTGAAAAAAATGTGGGAAATAGGGATGGTATTACAATATAATTGGAAATAGGGTTTCTTTTTGGCAAAATAATTTTTAAGTTTAATTTACAAGAAATAAAAACCTGAGAAGCTCTTAATAATGGTTTTTGGTTTTTTGTATTTTAATTATGACACTATTTTTTATATATTTTTAAATTTATTACTTATGTTTAATTTTTAAGATTTTGATTTGTACGATTTTAATTTTTCAGATTTTAATTTTTCAAATTTTAATTTTTCAGAATTTAATTTTTCAGATTTTAATTTTGCAGATTTTTATTAAGGAACTTAAAAAATTAAAGCCTACACTTACGTATTTTTTAAGTGATTTCAAACAGCATATTATATATTTTTTGTAAATATTTTTAAGTGACTCGAAAATAGTAGAATGATCTAAAAACTCTATTTTCTTCGAGTACATTGATGCTGCTTTTGATGGTGACCCTTTTTCTATTTTTTTTTCTCATTGTTATTACCGGTGTCGTGTCTAATTTGTGTTTTAAATACATAGTTGATATTTGCCGGGCAAAAAGTTGGAAATTGCGCATTTGCTTTTGCTTCGAAGGGCCGTCTGAATAATGCATAAATGCAATTTGCAAGTTGAATGCACTGTGCGGTCGCTTTATTTTCGGTGGACTCGGTCACACTTTTGGGGGTGGGGGGTTGAGGGTTGAGGTTGGTAACAGATGCGACACCCAGATGGCGCCAGCTGGACTCGTCGATTCGCGGTGATTTATGTCCGGCAGTTATCGATTGTCAGTTAGCATTTATGAGGCCACCTGAACGGCACTTTGGGGGATTGCCGTGGGATTTCCCATTTCCCCTTTACACATTTCCCAATTTCCCATTTCACATTTCCCATTTAGCCTGGCTTAGGAGACGAACGAGTACTACTACCATCCTGTGTTGCAAAAACTTTCCGCTGGCCATAATTTTTGGCCAACAACTTTTGCCGGCCAAACGAGCGAGTGGACAAACATTTTAATTGAAATGGTTTGGGTAAATAAATTAGGTAGGGATTATCCTTAAAAGTTGGCAATGTGATGTTTATGTGGTGGATAAACCAAACGACAGGTTCTTAAAGATTTCAAGTTTTAAATTAAACTGCCAAGTATTTTTTTTAATGGTCAATATATTCATACAAAAAAATTCATTTTTCTTTTCTTTTTTTTTTTTTCTTTACATACACTTTGTGGCTTAAAAACTAAGAACAATTTGACACAATTTCGCTTAAGAACTATTTGGGGGGGCGGAAAACTATAAGGTGAAAATTAGGATGAGAAAACTGGACATAGAAAAATTGCTCATTATTGCATCATGACTGGCACATTTACGGACAGAAGAAAAATCAACAAAACAAAAATGGGAGACAAGGCCAGAAATAAAAAAAATATTTAGAAAGGGTATACAAAAAGGGATTTAACTCTGCTCTGTAGAATCTTGTTCAGGTGCGCCATTAAATATGTAGTTATCCTTTCCGGGAATACCTGTGCCGCCTGCATCACCCAGCCAGGGATAGACATTGGGGCACTCCCGGCATGTCTCCATATAACGCGTATCCGTCAGATTCTGTTCGGGGATCTTGAAGGGCAGGGCGCATGTTTGCCAAATGTTGCACGGCTTTGGTGCCACGGCCACGCTCTTGTCACACTTCCAGGCCTCGATCTGGTTAATGTCGCGCAGTTCCTTGGGATCGGTCATGTACTGCAGCATCTGGGTGACGGTCAGGATATAGACGTCGGGTCTGAGGATGAAAATTTGATTTAATTTGGTTATTTATATATAGAAAATTAGTTAAACAATTAGTTTTTAGTTAAAATATATGAAATCATTTAAAATGTTGTCTAAAAGTATGCAATAAATAATTTTTATAATTTTGTTGCCTGATTTCGGGTGGCATTTTTATTGATTTCAAATTTTAATGTTTTTTTAGAGGCTCTAATTAATTATTCTTTTTAAATATTTATTAAAAAAATGCGGAAATGATAAATTTATTTTATATATGTGAAATTTATTCTTAAGCTATCTCAAAATTAATTAATTAATTAATTAAATTGTTGAATTAAAGATTTAGTATTAAAATAAATTTTGTTTATTTATTTAAAATAATTTTATAAATATTTTTTTAAAACAAAAAATCTTTGGATTTAAAATATCAAATCGTTCTAAAAGTTAAGATTTTATAGCATAATTTTAGGCATATTTTTTCAAGATTTCAAAACAAAATATAGAAAAATAAATAAAAACAAGGCGAAAATATTGTTTATTCAAAACTAAAATAGATTTCCTGAACATAAACTCATGGAAATTCTTTAAAAATATCCCTCAAGCATTCCTCATTAGAAGGGTACGGATGACAGTGCACCTGTAGGGCCAAAACAAAAGAGTAATGATGCGAGGGGGGCGAAAAAAAGGAAACTTTACGGCATTCTTTTACGCATTTCCAGGCGTCTCATGCAAACACTAAAACGCCGCATTTTTCCCAGGGCATTTCCCGCTGATGCTCTGATGCTTCAGTTTGAGCCTCTGGTCCGAACGGCAACGCAATGTTGAAAGTCATTCACACTAATTAAAAACTTCGTACAATTGTGCGAGAAATAGTTTTGCAGCAGCAGCAGCTGCTCTTTTCAGTTTTCTCCCCCAGCGTGTGCAGGTCAGATCTTTATAGTTTTTAACTTGTTCTCTAATGCACGACGAGGTGTGTGAGCCAGGTGAAGATATGTATGAATGCAATTTTCGAGCAAAAATTAAGTTGAAATTTTCTAGACTTGCCACCGAAAATAGCAACAATAAAAAGTTCAAAGTTGCCAACAAAAAAATAAAAATAAAAGAAATACGCAACTACATTAAATGTGGCTCTTAATTCTGTATCTTATTTGAGTTTAAAATTCTTGGTTTCATTATAATTAAATACTTTTTTAAGAATAGAAAATTGTGGAAAATTAATAAAGTTTTTTTTTTATAAACTATTTAGAGGCAGGAATATATTTTATATTTATTTTAAGAGATACAAAATATGTATAAAAAATATTTATAAAATACATAGCATATTTTTGAGGGTCTAATGAATTTTTTAATTTTTCAAATTTAATTTATTTTCAATTTCTAATTAATTTATGTACATACATTTTTTTTAAATAATTATTTGAATTAATTAATATTTTAAAGCAATAACTTTTGTTAAAAATCAAATTTAGGCTTCATAAAATATTTATAAAAATTTAAAATAAATTCTTGAATTAATAATTAAATTCTAACATTTTTTTGTTTTCTTTTGCCGTCTTAAGCAACCTATTTTTCACCCATTTGCACTTGTTTTGCTGGCCAGAAAGTCCGCTTAAGCCAAAGATAAGCCAACGTTCAGAGAGTGATGTCGATGACAAAGTGCGATTCTATCAACATAACTTCATTTAGCAAACTTTTCTGTGCTCTCTTTCTTCATTGCCTCTCTTGTCGTTTGCCTTTTTGTTTGTCTTGCTTTTTTCACTCTTTTGTTTTTGTTTTTCCTCTCATTTTATTTCGTTTTTTTTTTGTTGTAGTGCGTTTTAACATGGCTTTTTTTGAGTTAGCCACGACCTCTAATACCGCTGTATCCTGTTTTGGCTTTGCTCTCCCTTTTCCTCCCCCCTTCTTTTTACTAATTTTTTTTTTTCACTGCCTGGGCCTGCACTGATATTTTTGCGAAAATGAAACTTTAACAAAATTAAACTTTTCTCATTAAAACGTGCGATTTTTTTCGCTCCTTATCCTTATACCGAGCTCACACAGCTCCTGGTGATTTTTTTAAAACGCTGACCGCAGCGTCGCCATTGTGGAGGGACGAGACTGAGAAAGGGCAATGAGAGAGAGAGAGAGAGAGAGAGAGAGAGAGGGAGAGAGAGAGAGGGAGAGGGAAAAGGCGAACGGCGAGATTCCGCCGAGAGTTGTGCATATGGTTGAGTGACTGCCAGCAGAATTGGCCAAATGCACAATTAAAAAAAAAGTTCAGGAATAAATTAAATCTAAAAAAATAATATATAGGTATATATATGTAAGAATATATATAAAAAGTATAAAAAAAAAATATTAAAATCAATTGAAATATATGAAAAACTAGTCTTTAAAATGCCTGATTTTTAAAGAAAAATAAAAAGAGCTGCCACAAAAAGCCAGACAATTTTTTAAAATGGATAATTATTAGTGGAAATCTAAGATTAAATTATATAATTATTTTAAAATATTTCCTTATTTTTAAAAAAAAATTTAAATTGAGAAAAAATTTATATACATTTTTTATATTTAAATATTTCATTCCAAACTTTTATATGCATCATTTCAGATATTTTTAATCTCTAGTTAATAGTAAGTATATTAGTTTTTTATAATATTTATATTATTTATTAATTTGTTATATTTTTTTTTTATATATTTTTATTTATTTTTTAATTTTATTTTATTTTTAATTATTTTTTTTATTAGTATTTTATTATTATTTTATTAATATTTTATTATTATTTTATAATTATTTTATTATTATTTTATTATTATTATATTAGTATTTTATTATTATTCTTTTATTATTTTATTATTATTTTATTATTATTTTATTATTATTGAGTTACAATTTCGCAGTAATTTTAATTTTTGACTATGTTTTAATTGAATTTCCGTCAGTGCATCACCCCCGGTATCAGTGAAGAGACTTTGAAGGGTTTTCTTTTTTTTTTTTTAATGTTATTTTTGTGAACTGCTCAACCTGTCGACATGGGCAACATGTGCCGCCGCCATCACCACCACCAAAGAAGCTCTTCTACAAGCAATTTTTATAGCAATTGCCAATTTTGCTGCTGCTCCTCCTTCCTGCTTTCTCTCTTTTTCTCCACTTTCTTCCCCTCCTTCGCAGTCTACTCTTTCTCTCTCTGTATATCTGCTTCGCTTGGCTTTTTTTAATTGAATATAAAACTTGCCAGCGGCAATCGGAAGTGCACTGCAGGAAACGCCAGCTGCCCCCCCCGTGTGTGTGTGTGCAAGTGAGATAGGTAGATTCGAGAATAGAGTAAGGGAGAAGGAGAGAAGTAGAGCCAGAGAAACCGTTCTAAAGTTGGCTTTCAATTATGAAAAAAATACCAACAAAATAAAAAAATTAAAAATAAAAAAAATATATACTATGCAGAAAAAAATTGAATAAAAAATACAAAAAAAAAAAAATTATGAAATATTGTGAACAAAATTTATTAAAGCTTGCAGCCTGTTTAAATCAATAAAAAATTATGTGAAGAAAGTTAAAACTAAAGCGAAAATGCTTAAAATATGCTTAAAAGTATGTTCTATCATACTCTTAGCCACTTTGGAGAAGGGTTTAGAAAGCCACAGGAATTTTCTATATAACTATAACTATTTTTAGTAAATCCTCCACTGAATATTATTTGAAAATATTTAAAATTAAATTTATAAAGAAAAAAAATTACTCACAATTCAAGGGCCCAGTCCAGGAACTTGTGCAGACCATTCTCCAACGGCTTGGTCTGGAACCAATTGGTATGGAAGGGCATCATGTAGGGCGCCTTATTCTGTTCGTAGTAACGGGAGAAATCCTCTTGCAGCCACTGTAGCACTTCCTCCTCATCCAGATTATGCAACACGCACTGATCCAAGTACGGACAGTGTCCGCCCTCATAGCCCTCCACATAGTGGGTGTTCAAGGGCACTTCCCAAACGCCGGGGAAGGTGCGCGACGGGCAGGTGCCGCTCTTGCATTCGTGCGAGATTTTATAGTCGAGGGTATAAGGCCACACGGGCACGGCCACTGGGGGAACGGTGATTGAACTATCGTAGATATAACCAAAGTCTTCAAGAACCTAAAAGAAATAAATAATATAAAATAAAATAATTTAATAATAATAAAAAAAAAATAATAATTAAATAATAAAAAAATAATTAAATAATAATTAAAAAAATTTAAATAATAATAATAATAAAAATAATTAAATAATATCGGTACAAAAAATTAAATAATAATAAAAAAAAAATTAAATAATGATTAAAAAAACAATTAAATAATAATTTAAAAAAATAATAATAATAATAAAAATAATTAAATAATAATAATAACAAGAAAAATTAAATAATATTATTTAAAAAAAAAAATTAAATAATAATATTAATAAAAACAATTAAATAATAAAAAAATAATAATATATACTAAATTAATATAATTTCAAAAATATATTGGGAATATCTCAGGACCTTTTGTATATTTTGTTTTGAAACTTTGTCACAGCTTTAATAGTGTAATTTTCGAACATCATATGCATTTTTATAAAAATCTGTTTTTTATTTTAGTTTTTAGAAAGAAAAACCCACTTACAAGTTGCTCTCATATTAGACCTTTTAGCCATTGAGTTTATTTTAATATATAAAATATTATAAAAAATCCCTTTTGACGAAATCCTTACAGCTTTTTGTATTTTTAAAAATTAAAATCCTTAAATTTGAAATTTGAAAATAATAAAATATGAAATTCCTATTAAATTTCGTTCACTGTAAAATTTAATAAATTAACGCATTTTGCCTAAAGTCGAGCAACAGATGGCTGAATGCCTCTCGGCATTGTCCCATCGGAATGTGTGTTGATATATATACATACATCGAAGGGTGTCATACACACACACACCCCCCATTATCTGCATAAAGAGATCCGCCATAGATATGATTTTAAATGCGTGAATCGGTGATTTAGGGCTGTTTTACGTATACGTAATATGGCTGATTTTCGCATTATGTGCTTGGTGTTGCTTTTGAACCGCTTTCAGTGTCTCTCTGGTTGTGTGTGTGTGTGTGATGTGACATTGATGTCATGTCATGTCATGTCAACCAGAAACTTTCAGCCTGTGTCTGTGTGTGCGTAGTGTGTGTGTGTTTGGGGGGACTGAGGTTACGGTTAGGTTGCCTCATCTGCCTCATCGACTTCCCCACCAAAACTCAATTTCAATTTAAAGCCAATCTCAGCAACGTGGAATTTAAATCAGGCAAACACAGGCTCTGAATGAGTATTTTGGTTAATAAATTATTTTTTTTAGAATTTAATTTACCTTTAATTGAGAAGAAAAATAATTTTAAGCAATATTGGTATTTAGTTTTTGGGTTTTAAAATAACTTTAGGCTGATAAAAGTAGCTTTTCTTTAAGAAAAAAAATATTTTCAGGAAAAAATATATTAATTCCATCTTTAATTTTTATCTCTTAAGTCTAAAGTTTCGAAATTGGAAATATTATAAAGTCTATGTTATTTATTTATTAATTTTTAATTAGAGTAAATTACCTTAATTCATTTATTACATTTTTTATTTATTATAAATATATTTTTTTTAAATGATCCAAAATATTTAATATTTTAATTTTAAATATTTAAATATTTTACTAAAAATATTAAATCTATTTTAGTCTTTATAATTTGTATTTGTTTGCCCTGAAAATTGTAATTCATTTTCAAAATTTTCAATATAAAAAATTAATATTTGTATAAAATATTTTTTTTTCTTGCAATTTATGTTCATAAATTGTATTAATCTTTAAGTTTGATTTTCTTGAGTTTTCCTTTGAACAAATGAGATGGAAATCCGTTCGATTAAGTGAAAATTGAGTTCGTTTTGACATTCCGTTTGGCTCTGTTGCGACTCTGAAACCGAAGCCGCAGGAGACATGTAGACAGAAAAGACAGCTTTAAATGAATCACTTTTTCGATTTTCGCTCTGCTTCTGATTTCAAGGAATCGTCATCGCCCTCGACAATTGCATGTCAATTGAATGTTGTTCATTGTTTGCATTTTTCTCTTGTGAACCCACCTTGTCCCTACTCGTCCTGCGCCTCCTCACTCACCTTGTATTGGGTGTTGCGGCCGGGCTTGAGGAACGGTGCTCGCATGCCGACCACATCGTTGACGGACACATTGGCAAAGTGTCGCAGGATCTCGCGCATGCCAATCATCTCGCCCACCCACTCCTCGTAGCCCTTGTCCTGCAGTCCCTGCTGTTGCGAGATGCTCTCCGTTCCGATTTCGTGTCCAGCGTAGCCCAAATGTTGGATCTGCTGGTAGTTGCTGCAATCGAGAGAAAAAAAAACATGGAAAATTCAGCAATTGGCCAGCAGATATTTTACAAAAGAAAAATGAACAGTCATTTAGGGATTCCAAACAGCGGAAAAGCAAAGAAAAGTCGATATTTATAGATATATAAAGGGGGAAAATTCGATAACTTAAGGATTTAGGTTAAAATGTATATACAAAAATTATGTATAACTTATAAAATATATTTTTTTAATATTTTAATATTTTCCTGAAGAAATATTCAAACAAAAATCCTTTAAAACAAATGGAATTTTTGTTTAAATCGATAGCTTTATATATATCGATTGTTTAAAAATCACTCTTATCGATAAATAGCTTTCTTTAAAATGATTTCAGTTATATTATTTATTACTTTCCTATTTAATCTTTATTTTAAGTGGAAACAATTTTTTATTACAAAAATTCCCACAGTAGTTGAAAATTTTACAAAATTTCCTTACAGAAAACTATGTAGCAGTTAGCTTCTAGCTGGGAAAACTGTTAGCAAATCATTTTCACACTCAATGGCTGGTTTGGCACAAAGAAAAGCACCCAAGGTGTATGTTGTTTTGTTTTGCAAATTCGAAACTAACTGACGAACGAGCATGGGACTCTGACTTACTCGCACATCGGGCTTTTTGCCAATTAGAAGAAAATTTCCCCCAAAACAAAACTGCACTAGGAAATGGGAAATGAATGAATTTTCAAAAAAAAAAAAAAGATGGGATGGCAAGTTCAAGCTGTTTAAAAAAGATACTTCAACGATTTCAAAACGGAGCAGACTTAAAGAAATATGTTCAATTTGAGGATTCGGTTTTTTTAAATACATATTTTCAATTTTGAGAAATTATTTAAAATATTTAACATTTTAGGAAAATATTTAAAAATTTTCAAGCATTTCAAACTTTAAAAAATATTTCAAATTAAAAAAAAAATATTTTAAATTTTAAGAAAATATTTAAAATTTTAAGAAAATATTTAAAATTTTAAGAAAATATTTAAAATTTTAAGAAAATATTTAAAATTTTAAGAAAATATTTAAGTTTTAAGAAAATATTTAAAAGATTTTAAATGCATTTTTTTTGTTTTTGTTAAAATATTAAAAGTATTTGAAGAAAAATATTCAACTTGAGGATTTATACATTATTTTAAATTTTGTAGAATTTATTTAAAAAATATTAATGATGTATTTTTTGTTTCACTTAAAATGTTAAAAATATTTAAAATGTATTTTTTGTTTTACTTTTTTGCTGCAATTTTGTTAACATTGTTTCAACTTCTAATTTTTGTGGGCAAGCATAAAAAATTGAAGTTTGCAATGCCAAAAGCAAAACTACCCAAAAATATGTACATGTCTGCATGTATGTTTGATTGTGTGTGTTTTTGAAATATTTATTTCTTCAAAGGGCGCCAAAAGGGGTTCCACAGCTTGAGGGAAAACTGCTAACGAATAATGTATAGTTTTTTCGTTGCTGCCCGTTTCTCGCAAAGAGCAAATAGTTAAGAGAAAATATGAGGGGAGAGAAATAGAAAAAAAAAACAAAAAAATAAAAAAACAAAATGAAGAAAACAAAAAAAATTTAAATGAATAAAAGAAAATAAAATTATGAATGCTTTTTTGCTTGCTTTTCCATTGTCTTTTTCTTCTCTCTACAGGCTCTTTTTCGTTCTGTTAACTCGTTTCATGCAAGAATGTTGCCTGAATATACAGTTATACATATCTATATATATATGTATATATGTATATTTATATTTATTAAACATTTCACTCGCAGTGTGCACAGTGTGTGTGTAAATATTTTGCAATGAAATTACGCCCTAAAGTCAAACTTTTGCCCAAAAACTACGAGAAACGAGTAACGAAAAGTAAAAAATCATAATGAATGCGAAGGGTTACTACTTGTCGTTTTTGGTCTTTGTGCACAGAAAATAAAAGGGTAGAAAGAAAAAAAATACTTTTAAATATTAAAACATATTACTGACTTTAGTTTGTATTTTTATATATTTTATAAATACCTTTTTTTTTCTGTAAAATTTAAGGAGCACGAATTTGTTTTAACTTCTATCAGAAAAAATAGTTTGTTTAGTTGGAAATAAACTGAATTATTAAAAATAAATCTATTACTATTTGTATTTAAAAAAAATGTTTTAAAATAATTTAAAAAATCAAATAAAAAAAAAATACAACATAAAACTATGTCAGAAAAATTTTAAATTTTTGTATATCTTTTATTTTTAATTTTCCGTAAATCCCCAAAAAAAAATTAATATTTAAAATTAAAATTAAAATTAGTTATTCTATGTTTTTCTCTACATGCAGTGGCAATGACGCATTTGCTGCACCGTAGGCGTTGCAACCACGCCCATTGCATAGAGCCTGCTGCATCCACACCTACATTATTCCGCCCACGAAACCTCTCGAAAGGGGACCCCTTAACCCATACTCAAAACCCCTTAACCCGCACCCAGCCCACAGCCAAAACCCAACCCCCCAAACCCCTCTCCCCCCTTGCTGCACTTTCAAACAATAGCGCACGGGCACAAAACTATCTGACATCGTCAAAAAGTTCATGCAAAAATGTGGAAATGTGAAAAGTTGTTGAAAAGCCTGTGCCTCAGGATGTGCCACAAGAGTGTGTGTGTGTGTGCGTGGGGTGTGCGTATGTGAGTGTGTGTGTGTGTGGGGTAGATTTATTGCATGACATTTCAATTGTTAGACAAACAGCTGGACGAAGAACTAGAAGCTGAAAAAAGGGGTGGCACCCAGCACTTGTAGCCAAGGCCAAATGAGGAAAGCTTGCAAAAAAAAACAAAAAAAAAACTGAAAAATGAAAAAAAAAGATAACAGAAACGGAAAGAAAAAAAAAGGAAAGAAGTGAGGAAACGAAACCCAAAGAAAGCCAACAATTCAAACAAACACTGTTGCCAACAATGTGACCCAAAACAGGGTTGTCGATGATGATGATGATAATGCTGGTGATGGTGATGGTGTTAGTGTGAATGCGCGTCGATGACTGTGACAGATAGTATTCCAATTAGTTTGTCATACTGTGGACACACATCCTTCCCAGAACTATGATGGGATCATTTTCAATTTCAGTTTGTTAACGGGAGTTGTTTATAATTAAGGCAAACTTTGTAGTGTGTCCAGCTTACTTTGTAAAGTAAAATATGAGCCATAAATTAAAGTAAATTGTAATAATTTGCTCAAATTATTTTATTAACACAACAAGAAAAGCTAAATAATATTTATATATAATTATTCCTTAAGTTAGATTCTCATTATATGAATTTTATGAAATTATAGTGTGACCAGGGCAAGTTGAAGTGCATGTAATGCCGTCACACTACTTACCTAGTTCTGTTTTTGATAAAATATTCAATTAACTCATTAAGAATTAATGAATTCAATTTGGTTGTGTTTATTTTACAAGATAGTTGATTTAAAAAAATAGTGTGACCAGGGCAGATTAAAAATACATTTAGCGCTGCATTTAAGGTCACACTTTACATATTTTTATGTATATGATCACACTTAATTTGCATTTAATGACTATAGAAATTTGATACATTTTTTAGAGTGACCAGCTTTTTCGAATGTAGTTTAAATGGAATTTTAGTCTCTAGAAAACCTTTAAACCTCGTTCTTGTGACTTTGACAACCTTGGTGAAATCCAAAATTATACCCTGAGCTGAGCACCAAGCACTCAGAAGTGCACCTCCCTTCAATTGCTTCAGATGACACTGGCTCATATGACATAGGCATATATAAGATAGTGTGTGTATGTGTATGTGAAGTAGTGGTTAGAGCCCAGGCTTTAAAGGCCAAAAAGGAAAGGGAGGATGAGCTGTAGAGGTGACAAATGTCAGCAGCAATTAACAGAGCCAGCGAGGCAGAGGCAAAAATAGTCAAATGACACGCTACAAAGAAAAACTGACAAAACATAGATCTAAAAAAAAAAAAAAAGAAAACACTGAAAACCAAAAAAGGAAAAACAAAAGAAAAGGAAAGGAAAGAAACGCCCCCGTTTCTTAAAAGTGGTCTAAAAACCAAGAGAGACGTAGAGGGGGAAAGTCTGTGGTGGAAATGCGTCACACATTTGATGAATTTCCCTTTGGCCTTGTCGCGAGTGGCCGAAGACAGAGTGCAGTCATTGTTTATGCCACCTCGCCCTCTTGAAAAGCCTCCCTACCACCGCCCCCTAGTCCCCTTGAAAACCCAGCATTTTGATAGTGGTTACCCCCTCCTCCCTTTCACAAATTTTATTGCCGAAATCCATTTAAAAACTCTGCCCTCGCCTTGTTCCATTTCCATACTCTGTCAGTATTAAATTTTCCAGCAAGGAAAAACGGCTTTATTTTTTTTGTGTTTTTATTTCCCTTAATTCCACACACACACACACTCACACACACTCCTCAGTGTCTGTTGCGGTTGCTAACAAGTTCAATTTGCATTTAAAAAGGCAGAAACACATGTAATCTGAACGATTAGAAATTGTAAGATTACACAGGGCACACAAGGAGTAGGGCAAGAGGAAAAATCTTGGGGGAAAATCCGGAAAAAATAACAAAAAAAAAAAAAAAAAACATACCAGAAGGATGTCTTTTTTGTCTGCTTTTTAGAATTAAATTAAGGACTTTGCGTGATTGATTTTGAAATTTAAATTTATATTGAAAAGAAAGTAATGGCAAAGGTATCACAAAAAAAAAAAGAAATATGGATTTTAAGTGGAAATTAACAATTTTTAAATTAGGGTATATACTGGATTTATTTTTAAAATTTAAATTAATTTGTAAATCTTTTTTTTATTTAAATTTTATTATTATTAGTATTTTTTTTTTTATTTAATTTATATTTTATATTAGTATATATTTTTTTTTTATTAAATTTATATTATTATTAGTATTTTTTTTTATTAATTTATATTTCAACTTTTAGTTTTTAATTTATAGGTTTTATTAATTTTTATTTTTGATAATTTTTAAACTATTCT